AGCTGAATTAAAGATTTATAAGCTGAACAATACATAAATGAGCAATGATGTAATCTAAGCAAAGACATAGATACTGAAGTATAACTGAAACTGAACTGGATGCAATGACAAAGTAATAATCATAAAGATAACATACTGAATTGTATACTGATATAAATGCTGAAAACCTGGTCAATGCACTAAGAGTATGGCTGTGGGAGCTACTACTAACTGACATAAACCATGTGAGCTAAACGTGGATTTTGATGTATATGCCCCATCGAGAGGACCCAATATGCGGTTCTAGGGGTATAAAGGCATGAGTGTGGCGTGATCACTAATACTAATGCCCAACATGGGAACTTATAAACCTACTCAGGCACATAGTTCTGGGACTATAAGGGTACGCTGAACCCTAGTCCAACTCGATGCTAAGTCTACGCCCAACTGAATACCTATGAAGCTAAAATGCACTAAATACTGAATAGCTCAAAATACTGACATGCAATCTAAGAATGAACATTTATATACTAATAATGTGACATTTAAAAACTGGAGCATGATTTTCTGTTTAACTAACCTAGCAAGTATAATTCATGAACTAAGAGAAGTTACACAAACTAGGGTTCTGCATTTTTTACAAGGAATTTAGCAACGTTTCGAAGAAAACATATTATTTAGATTATGGATACTATAGCAACTGAAATCATAATAATTCTCCAATATTTTACAAACCCTGGGTCTAAACAAGCTATGTAGAGTCAAAGATCTAACTGAATTCTAGGACCTAGTGGATGAAAGGAACCCACTAGTAAAATCCCACATACATGGTGACGAAATCTACGGAGAAATCCTTTGGATTTTGGGGATAAAACTTGAAAAACACCGTTGCTTGTTCTTCTAAGAAACTGGCAACTCTTTTTTTTTTTTTTCATTTTAAATTGGATGATTTTTAGAGAATGAGGGTTCTGGGTATGTCTGACTAGGCTATTAGGCTTGGATTAAGTAAAACGACGTAGTTTAGGCATCAAACGATGTAGTTTAAGGGCCCCAATGCATAGGGAAAAGGCCAAAATGACCCTGACATAAAAGCTGATCAATGTCATCCGCGGTGGGACTAGCAAACCGTCGTTTGGACTACCGGTCGTCAACTAGGGTAGTGGTTCATGGTCTTCCCGATAGGGATTCAACAAAATGATCATAGCATTTTACTCCACGCTTGGATTTTAGAAAACTCAGTGGCGTTGGAAAGAAGATTCAATTATCTTTAATTTTTTAGGTCATGGGCCACCTAATTCATTTTGTGCTAAAAAGATATGACCATTTGAAGTTGACCCAACAATATTTTCCTTTGAATAACTGTTGTCCCTCAGCTACGGCCAGTAGGTCCAACCACGGACCGTACTGGTCGACCCTGGGTGGGATCAGAGACCATTAAACTTTGGACCCCAACTACGGAGCCAACCTACAGTGTGTGGGTCAATCAAAGGACCATGGTTCACGGTCGTAGGTGTCACCTTTTGATCCTGAATTTTCCCTAAGTCTGGGACTGAACCACGGGACCCCACCTACGGTCCGTGGTCTAACATACGGTCCATCGGTGACTTCCGTTGGTTCTGACACCAAATCCTGGAAAGCTGTATTTTTCCATCTTCTCGAATCAGAGATGTTACATAATGAAACCGTCAAAACACAAATATGAGGTTTCCATGACCCGAAATTCGTGAAAGTCACAAGAAACCAACATATCGCCTAAAAAGGCCAAATCAAACTCGGGACCTTTGAAAATTCAACCAAAACCTCACATAGGCCTAAAACCATCACCCGAATCCAATGACACTCTCAGAATTTTGATCTGAGCATCCGAACCTTGAATGTCGACCAAAGTCAATCCAAAGGCTCAAATTTCACAAATTTCCAACTTAAGACCTTAAATCCTCAAAAAGACTCCGAATTTGAAACCAACAACCCTCATAAACCAATTTTCACATTGTGAAATGGATGAAATCTACGGAATTTCTTTCTGATACTGGAACTCAAAAAGACACCAAAAATTCAATTTTAACAACTTTAGCCTTTCAAATTCAACACTTACAAACTTCACAACCTTTTTACCATAAACTGGAAACCAACTTTCAAAACTCACTCAGTAATACCTCGGCGTCGATTTTGGGCGGGGTAAAATGATAATTTCATAAAAATTTTCAGAAAAACGACCAACTGGATCATTACAAATGTGTTCAATCAATTTAGTATCTGTAATTTGAGAAAGCTCTTACAACCACAAAAGCATCCTTGAAATTACTTGCACACATAGAATATGCATAGGATTAGTCATGTCGGTAATTCAAAATAACAATTGGACCACCAAAGGATATTCTATAGGATGAGGCTTCTCCTAGGACTACTCATGGTTATGGTTAAAAAAACAAACAGAACCGCAATTCAAACTAAACCAATTAAAAAAAACTGATATTTGGTTTGTTTTAAATTTTAAAAACCGATACTATTTAGTTTGGTTTGATTAGGTTTGGTTTTATATTTTGAAAAACGATACCATTTGGTTTGGTTTTGATTTTACTAAAAAAATCACAAAAATAATCAAAACGAACCAATAAATTAGATATATAATTTTTATAATTATTTATATATTATTCATAAATAAAATATAAATAGTTTATAATTTTTCATTAACTTAAGTCTTTAACTTTACCATTTTCTCAAGCCTAACACTTTAGCCCAACTATAGCAACCCTAAGTCCAAGTCCATCAAAATCCATTTTAGTCTTTACCTACCCTACTTCACATAAAATACTCACATTTTCTCTTAATTGAATCACTTTTTTGTGTCATGATAACTATAGTATTGCTTAATTGAACCGACAATAGCTACTTTGTGGATTGTTCACGTACTAGGTTTTGTGTCTATCGAGATACGAACGTCCTCAGAAAAATTATTACTTCCAAACTGAATAAACCAGAAAAACTGAACCAAACTGAATCAAGCCGATAATAACCAAACCGATTGTTATTATTTTCATTTGGTTTGGTTTTAGAAATTTAAAAGAAACGACTAGATTGATTTGGTTTTGGTTTTGATCAATAATCGATCCAAACCAAACAACGAACACCCCTAGGTGCTTATGTCTTAATCAGAGGTCTCAAATTCAAGTATTGGGTATGAAATTCCTTGGTAGGGAGTAGTTCCCCCAAATAGGGACCTACACGACACGAATTTGGAATAATCCAAAATAACCGAGCTTAATGTACATACCAAACACCGAGCATCGAGCGAGAAACAAAAAAATAACAATTGGAAGTGAACTGACAAACCCACGAATGTTTCTATGATTTTATAGGAGGGTCTGCCAACCTTGCTATGAAAATAAATAACGGAGAAGGGTCTAAAATGCCTCTCAAGTATTTGAATTGATACAAAATTACCCTCCATCTACCTATCAGCCCTAAATTACCCTTGATGTCCACCTTTTGGCTCAAAAATAGCATCGATGTTAATCCTTTGACTCATATTTGCCCTTATTTTTAATAGTTTCCTTAAAGTAAAATTATTAAATATTTTTTTTTATTATATTGCTTAATGTGATTGGTCCAAATTTATACCTTTCTCAAATAAAGAATAAAAATGATATTTTCAGAAAAAATATTTTTCTATAAAACCACTTATGATTCATATTTTGACCCGATACACTTGAAAATAATATAGATAATTAATTTCATGATATGTTCCTATTGACCTATTTTAAATCAACCCCAATTCATAATAACGTCACCCAACTCATAAATGGGGATCCAACTAAAACCCATACTTACCCCGACTTATTGCCATATAAAAAAATTATTATTTTCATTGATATAAAATTTTCTCTCAATTATCCAAATGTCTTGTTCATTTTCTCTTTTATTCCTTTTTTTAATCTCTTATAACTAGGATATCCGGGACTCAAACTTGAAATGAACTCACATATTTATATTCTTTTAATTAGTATTATTAGCATGATGGGATGAGGATAAGAAAAATTATTAATTATATTCTTTTAATTTTAATTTTGGGTACACACAAAAGAAAAATGTAATATTTGTACATATTTGCTTAATTTACTCATCTTTTATTGAGCTAATTATTTCTATAAGAATGCATCATTATTTTACTCATTTTTTCTCTCTTGTTTGTCATAAATTAAATAATAAAAATAAAATGGTGGTCAAGATCCAAATAGAAAAAAAATGGAAGAGATAGGAAGTGAAGGGCCGGGGAGGGAAGAGTATAGAGAGTATATGTCTAACCTTTTTATAATTTTAAATTTACTATGAAATTCAAAATCAAGTCAATCATGTGAGCTTATATATTAAGTAATTCAAATTATTTTTCTACGGAAAAGGGCCTAAAATGCCCTTAAACTATGAGATTTGGTACAATATTACCCTCCATCCACCTAATGAGTATGATCCATTAGATATAAGGGTATTTTTTAGCCGAAAGATGGACGTCATGGGTATTTTAGGGCCACTAGGTGGATGGAGGAAATTTTTGTACCAATTCAAATACTTGAGGAACATTTTAGGCCCTTCTCGGAATAAAAAAAAAGAAGATAAATGTAATATTGTAAGCCACAAAAATTTAGTTAGAAAATATAACAATGGAATTCTGAGAACCTTAATTGTTAAATTTAAGATTACATGCCTGAATTAATCTTCATGGTTAAATTTAATAACTAACTCTTGAAAATCAAACTGTGCAAAATAAATGAAATAAAAAGAAGTGACTTTTGTACGATGAACTTAATGTTGGATGGACCATGGGTGAAATTTATTGGAGCTTAAACTCATGTATAAAGAGTTGTTGTCTCTGGAAGTCTTCCATATTATTGTAATAAACTTTAAAGAGTTAAAATTATAAAAGCAACTAAAATTAGTTGAAGAAACATTCATTAAAAAAATGTACTTTACTCTTGTTACTATAGTTTCTTTGCTTCTCTTATTCTCCTTCGTTGTTTTTCTAGTTAGTAAAAGCAAAAAAACAAATAAAATTGCCTCCAGGTCCATGGAGACTTCCCTTTATTGGAAGTTTGCATCATTTAATCGGAAGAGGACCTCTGCATTGCACTCTTAGAAATTTCGCACAAAGGTATGGTCCTCTGATGTACTTACAACTTGGGGAAATTCCTGTAGTAATCATATCATCACCTACTATTGCAAAAGAACTTCTAACAACTCACGATCTCGCCTTTTCTGATAGACCACAATCTATGTCTACAAACATCACATTTTACAATAATAAAAACATTGCATTTTGTCCACATGATAATTACTGGAAACAAATGCGTAAAATTTGTAATGTACAACTTCTTAGTGTAAAGATGGTCAAGTCCTTTGGTGCGATTAGAAAAGATGAGATTTCAAGTCCTGTTTCATCAATTCGTTCCACGAAGGGTTCTCCAATTAACATGACAGAAAAGATCTTTTGGTTTACCAACTCTGTCACTTGTAGCGCACCCTTTGGGAAAATATTCAAAAATCGAGATGAGTTTATAAAATTGTTGAAGGATATGGTCATATTAGTGTCGGGATTTGATGTTGCTGATTTTTTCCTTCTTGGAAGTTACAAACTGAGTGGTGTGGAATCTAGATTGATGAATGTCCATAAAAAAGTCGATGAAATTATGGAAGACATCTTAAAGGAGCATCTTGAAAATAAAGCAACTAGGAACAAGGGAATTGGTGAATTTGGAGGTGAAGATTTGGTTGATGTTTTACTTAGGGTTACAGAGGACGCTGAACTTGAATGTCCATTCACAAACGACCATATTAAAGCTGTGATTCTTGTAAGTTTGCTACCATCTCATCATCTCCTTCCCTCCTATTTGTTCTAATTGTTGCTTTAGCTTCTACTTTTTTTCTTGCTCTCTAAAAATAACCTGGTTTACTAAATTATTTCTATTTAATAAAGAAGTAGATTGATTTTTACAGGCTAATTGGGTTATTTTTGCAAGCCGAACATAAATATTGAAAGGATAATTATTAAACAAAAACATTGAGAAAAAACATCAAATGTATTTTGAACTTGTTCTAAAAAGTCGATTTCACTCAAACTAATTAGGCGATCTATGTCATCCCTTTTTTTGTGTGGAAGTAATGTCACTCTAACAACGGTATCACCCGGAGTCAATATCTCATATGGTCACTTATTTTCATTAGTTCACTTAGAAAGTCACTCAACTTTTGTTTATAACCAAAAGTCACTCAATATAAAATAGTTCATTATAAAAGTCACTCAACTTAAAGTAGTTTACATAGAAAGTCACTCAATGACTTATATTGTTGGCTCGTAAAAGAAAGTCTTGGGTTTTGAAGTTCTGAGGGTTTAGGACATTGTCTATGAGGCTTATCGATGACCCATAAACACATCCATGATCTGTATTACCCCTTGTCTTGTTCAAGTCCAATTTTTCTGAAGTTTGAAATCTCATCTACGGCTTGTGGTTCTTTCTACGACTTGTAGATGGTCTTCGTAAAATTAGAAAAGTTTGTCACCTTTATTTTTCTTAACTTTCCAAACCTACTCAGTACTAATAAGGGACTTCCGAGGCATTACAAAGGGTATATAATAAGTTGTTCAATTAGTTTAAGTGTGAAATTGCTATACATTTCGGGACAAGTTCAATATGCATTTGGTGTGTCTCAAAGGTTTACTGTATTATCAAAGTTAGAAGTTCATAGCTCGAGACTCCTTCAAAAATTTCTCCTTAATATTTTAGAACCCAAATTCATCAAATTATATTTTACCTTATGTATGAATTTAATTTTATTGACTTCATTTATTAATTACTTAATGTTGATGTAGGACATTTTTGTTGCTGGAAGTGAACCTTCAGTTGCAATTACTATTTGGGTACTATTAGAAATTTTGAAAAACCCAAATATTATGGCGAAGACCCAAAAGGAAGTGAGACAAGTCTTTAAGGGAAAGAAACATTATGATGATGAAGAAAATATGGAAAAATTGACATACCTAAACTTAGTGATTAAGGAGACATTAAGCTTACATACACCAACTCCTCTTCTTCCGCCTAGAAAATGTAGGGAGCAAATATATATTGATGGATGCACCATACCTCTTAAAACTAAGATATTTGTTAATGCGTGGGCACTTGTGAGTGATTCAGAAAGTTGGCATGATCCTGAAAGTTTTATACCAGAGAGATTTGAGAATTCTTCTATTGATTTTATGGGAAATCATTTTGAGTTTATTCCATTTGGTTATGGAAGAAGGATTTGTCCAAGAATTCTATTTGGTTTATTTAATGTTAAACTTCATTTGGCTAAGTTACTCTACCATTTTGAATGGGAACTACCATATGGAATGAATCTAAAAGAATTGGATACGGCGGAAACACATGGATTAAGTGGAGCGAAACAAAAAGATCTGTATTTAGTTGCCAGATCATGAAAACAATGAAGAATTCTGAGCACGTCTACACAATCCTTCATCTTATGAAAATGCTTAAAGAATAAGATCCATATATGCATTAAAGATGGTTACTAAATAATTTATTCCTTAATTTACTGTAATTCATGTAATATGAACTTCTGTTTTATTCCTCGAAAGACATTGTTGAAAGAATTTCCATTTGATAAAACTCTAGGTTATTAAATCTCCTGGTTATTGGCTAATTCTTAATTAGCTATTGATACTATTATATTAAGTGTTACTCTTGAATATAATTAATTTCAATTGCAAGAACTCTCCATAACTTCACACCTGCTACTCTTGTAACTATTATTGTCGCTAAGTAAAAAATAAAGAGAAACGGTTTCCAACAACCAAAAAATAAAGGGAAAAGGGCCTGATATACCCCCCTCAACTTTTCCATTTGGAGCTTATATGTCCTTTGTTATGAAAGTGACTCATATATATCCTTACCTTATACAAACGGCTCACATATATCCCTACCGTTACAAAATGAACTCACATATACCATTCACTTAACGGAAGTGTAAAAATTAGTTTTAAATTTATATTTTTTACTTTTAATTTTCTTAAAAATTATTTAGGGGTATATATAATTCTTCTAGCAAAGTTCAAGGTATATTTTAATCTTTTTCATACATAAATTATTTTTTGACTTCTTCGATTATAATTATTTTAGTTTCTTATTATTATTTTATTCTTTTCTTTCATTCCTTAGTGTAAAGAAAAAAATATTAAACTATTTTTTTGTGGCTATATTAAATTTAAAACTTTTTTTTTTGTCTATATTGTAATTTAATTTTTGTATTTGAAGAAAAGAATTTGGTCATCTATAAGAAGTTTTACAAGAATATTGGTGAAACATAAATAAATATGACATCAAAAAAATATGTTTGAGGAGGACTAAATATACTCATATGGGATTATATTTTTTTTTGTTTAAAATAATAAAAAATTAAACTAAAATTATTTTTTTCATTTCCGTTAGAGGAAAAGGGTATATATGATCCATTTGTATATAAGTAGGGATATATATGAGCCACTTTCATAACGAGTGGTATATTAGCTATAAATGAAAAAGTTGAGGGGTATATCAGCTCTAAATGACAAAAAATCTAAATATAGAAGGGATGAAGAACCAATAGTCATTTCTTCACAAATCCTAATATATAAATAATGTATTAGTAGTATATGTATATACTACAACAAATTAGTCAAAAATTGACCCAAAGAAAATGAGGGACTGGGCCAGTTAAGGTAATCAGGAAAACCTGACGCTGTCTCTCGATTTTTCTGAAATTGAAGAACAAAAATGTTGGAGGTCTTTTGAAGAAGGAGAGGTATTCTGGTAGTAAATGGAGGCACACGTCTTCCAGTTTTTATAGTGGTTCATATTTAGTTTAAATCTATTTTGTTGAGACTCATAACGTAGCAGATCTAGTGTGATGATTAAAAAATAATTAATGTACTTTGCATAGACGCTTGAATTAGATAGAGCAACATTATCTATAGTAGCTTAGTGGTAGAGTTCAAGAACATGTTTGTGAGTATGAGAATGAGGAGAAAGTATTTATGAGTCTACATTATCATCGAGATCCTTCATATCATGAATCATAACTCTTGAATTCAAAATTCAAATTCAAGAAACAATTAAGAGGAGAGTTCAAGAAAGTCTTTGAGTTAAATTTTTTGGATCATTTGTGATCAACTATCGCTTTGAGCTAGTATCTTTAGGAAGTAAGTATGAGAATGAGAAGAGTCATATACATGAGTTCCATATTGGTTATTTATACCTAGAGTCGAGTCGTTCATGCTCATAAATTCTGCATGAACTCCATAAGTTGAAGTATCCTTGAGAGGAGTAGTATCTCCAAGTTCTAAGTTCTTAATCATTGATTTTTCAATCCCTTTTGAGATTTTATTCATAATTATGGGACTATGACATGTTACCCGACCATGAAGGTCCTTTAGTTGAGTTGTTGATGCCCATAATTTCGCATGAACCATATGAGTTGAACATTCTTGAGATGAGTAGTATCATTGAGTCCTTGATTTCTGGAGTTGTTGAGTACCGAGTATTGAGTTCTATATATGGTTAATGAAAACCTTGAATTGAGTAGTTCACGTTCATATTTCGGCATGAACCATTTTTTGAGAAGTCTTCTACAAATTTATCTAAACTTGTTTTAAGACTTGAGTATGAGAATGAGTAAAGTTGAGTTCATTTTTTTTAAAATTAATATATAGGAACTAAGTATTCCCAAGAGTAAATGTTTTGTCACGACCCAAGGGTACACTCTAGATGTAACATGGCGTACTAGACCTCGAAAGGCCTAACACAAGCTACTTAGCATATCATAACATAAAGCAATTAGAAATGATGCAAAAATTTTAAAACTTTTCTTTACAATCGAAGTATTTTATAAAAGCAAGTGGAAGTCTAGACTTGTCTCAATATAGCCATCTATTACAATAGTTCAAATGAAAAGGGACATAGCCCATACAAGATAGTTTGAAAGTGGAAAACTTCTAGAAATGAAACTCAAAGGGAAACTCCCATCCTCGAATCATGAGGACTCACCACAAGCAAGGAGAATAGTCAAATCCAAGCTTGATCCAAATGATAACCACCTTAAGAACCGGACCCTACACTTGGAAAAAATGTAGGAAAATATGGGTTAGTACAAAAATGCACTAAGTATGATATCCATGCATAAAAACCTTGAAAACATGATAAAAGGGACATTTTAGTTGAATGAATGTCATTTGCTAAGTTAAACCATTATTTGAAGTATAGTAGTAAAAACACAAGTCATGAGCATAAGATGCATCATAATAAGGATAGGCTATAACATGGTAGGAACTCATCATAAGTAGTGAGCATAAGAGATATCATCATAGAATAGGCATAATCAATGCAATCTAGTTTTAACATAACATAGGAGAAACATTTCATGAGCCACCTTAAGGCAAACTTGTGCAATGCGTGGATGAGATCCCATAATCCTACCCATGCTAATCAAGTCACTTTAGGTCCTCATTCATGTTCATCATCTTTTGATCTCATTCTTATCTTATTTCTCATAGACAAGGGAACATCCCCCTTTTGTCAATCATATCAAGGAAAGAAACTTATAGCAACAATCCAAATTAGCATACATCATTACAACTAACCCTCATATCAAACATACTTAACAATGGAGTCATAACCACTTTCACTACATAAATCATCATAACATAAGAGGAACATACCATAACTACCCTCAAAGCCTACTTGTGCAATGCATGAATAAGATCCCATAATTCTACCCAAGCTAAGTAAAGCTTCTTGAGTAACCATAGTTCATAACTCATCTTCTTGTTCATAGTGGGAATACGCCTTAACCGACATAGACCATATGAGCTTAACATGGAATCCGGTGTTACCCACACCGAAATGGGTTTCCCTACTTGACTAACTAAGGTAAGACCATCATCATGTTAGCTTTTAGGTGGATTCACTAGCGAAACAACCTATGGGGGCTCATAGTTGATGGGATATGGAGGTTGCTACTAGAAACCCGACCTTACTAGGGAGAGCTTCCACCTCACACAATATCCACTCGGTGCTACGCATTAAATTCCCACAGAGTAGTTAATTCTCTATTAACATCATTACTCATGAAAGGGTGCCATTGGCCTACCGATTCAAGGTACATCATTAGAATAACTCATTGACTCCTCATGAAAGGGGTACCATTGGTCTACCGATTCAAGACAAAGCCTTAGAATACTTCATTAGTCACTCGTGAAAGGGGTGCCATTGGCCTACCAATTCAAGGTATATCAATCAAGATAGCTCTTTAATTACACATGAAAGGGTGCCCTTAGCCTACTGATTTAAGGCATGTCATTATATGAGAAAACATTTCACAACATGTCATATTCATACATAGGTGTGTACATGAGAATAATCATCCAAAAACACACAACAAGATCATAATCATAATCATAATCACTTTACTCTGAAAGTGTTCATAAGGCATATACATAAATCTCACAATCATGCATAATTCTCATACTTTGCCCTTCAAGGACGATAGATCACAATCCATCAACACATCTAGAATTATTACATTAGACATGGATGATAACATAATTAAAGTAGTTCAATTGCCACATGCATAATTCTATCATATTTTACTTTCATCAACCAATACCCACACTTTAAGATCCAACTTGAGAAAATAGGGAAATTCATGGATTCTTTGGGAATTAAACATAAAATCATCAATATATCCATAATAAAATATAATTCAATCATTGAAAATGAATTTGAAAGGATTCCATGAGATTGAAGTCAAACCCTAACTTTTGGGATTTCTTGCTTTGAAATTGGGGGTTTTGGAGGGGATCCTTGGATGAAGACTATCCATGGATGAAGGAATAACATACCTTATTGAAGAATTCCCATGAATTTGAGGAGAAAATCTTGATTCTTAAACCCTAACTTCATCTTTCTTCTTCTTCTTCTAGAGAGAATTTATTCGGGGAAAGTGATGCGTCCACGATTTGGACTCATTTAGGGATTAATTTGGATGGATTTAGTGTTCACAAATGCTTATTTTGTGTCAATAACTGATGTAAAATCCTTGATTTCCAGGTATTTGGATTGAGGAACAAAGCATGGACACTAATGGGTAAAAAGGAACAAGGCAACTGAAAGAAGGAAGAAAAGAATGTCTGATGATCGCCTAATCCATTGGCGAGTCACCGAGTGGTCATCGTTTCACCTAAAGTTCCAGTGTGCCATGCCCTGAAGGAGAGAATCAAGTCGGCAAGAGAAAGGAGCAATCGGCGTGTTGCCAAACGGTTCCGCGATGCAGTGTTGGATCACTTAAAGTTACAGAACTTGAGGATGCTGAAGGCCAAAGCAAAAAGGCGATGGAACTGACCAAAGGGAGGATCGCCGAGTTGATTGGCGATACCAACCTACAGCG